AAACGCAGGAGCAACCTATCAGAGGTTAGTGACAGATATGTTTAAACACCTGATCGGCAAAACGGTAGAAGTTTAGACCAAATCAAGGCCATCCTGGAACTACAGAGTCCGACATCGACAAAACAGGTTCAAGTGCTTACTGGAAGGGCCGCAGCCCTAAACAGATTCATCAGCAGAAGCTCAGACAAGTGCAGACCCTTTTTTAACCTGGTGAAAAAAGCCACAGACTTCCTATGGACAGAAGAATGTGAAGCTGCCTTAGCCAACCTAAAAAAGTACTTAACCACAGCCCCGGTCCTTTCTAACCCAGTTCCAGGGGAGGAATTGTTTTTATACTTAGCAGTCTCTGAACACGCAGTCAGTGCAGTGCTAATCCGAGAGGAAAAAGGAGAACAAAAGGCTGTTTATTATGTAAGTAAAACTTTGGCCGACGCAGAAACAAGATACCTACCACTGGAAAAATTAATGCTAGCCTTGGTAATGGCTTCAAAGAAATTGAGCCATTACTTTCAGGCACACAAGATTGTGGTCCTAACAGAGCACCCACTGAAGTCCTTGTTGCATCAAGGAGACTTAACAGGAAGGATAGCAAAATGGGCAGTAACACTGGGCCAGTTTGACCTAGAATTTAGGCCAAGAACAGCAATAAAGGGCCAAGTTTTGGCCGACTTCGTCGCAGAACTCACACCTGAAGCCATCACACCTTGGGCTCCGTCGAGCCAGGATGAGCATCGCCCCAACAAGCAAAAAGAATCCCAGTCAAAGACAAAAAAACAAGAGAAAGAGAAGCTCAGACCATGCAGCATCTACATCGGCGATTCATTCAGACTATTCGTCGATGGAAGTTCAAACCGCCAGGGAGCAGGAGCAGGAGTACTTCTGATATCTCCAGATGGAGAAATAGTAGAACAGTCCATCCGTTTGGGGTTCAACGCCTCAAACAATGAAGCAGACTACGAAGCATTAATTGCAGGGCTAAAACTGGCAGCAGCAGCAGAAGCAGATGAGGTAATTGTTTTTTGTGATTCACAACTCATTGTTAACCAGTCAACAGGAGAATTTACAGCCAGGGACAAAAAAATGTCGGCATATGCAAAAGAGGTCATCAGATTGGCAGCCCTATTCCAGAACTGCAGATTACTCCAAGTTAGCCGAGATGACAACACCCACGCCGACGCGTTAGCCAACCTGGCCAGCTCAATTCAAACTGGAAAAACAAGGACAATTATGATCGACTACATGTCGGCCCCGAGCATAGATAAACAGAGCACCAAACAAGAAGCAATGTGCGTGGGATTT